GTTTTAAAAGCATTCAATTTGGCGTCAATGCAAGCAGGCTTGACCGAGTCTCTCTTCTCATTTCCGCGTGGTGAACGCGTCATGGCGATTCTGACTTTCTTGTTCCGTCGGCTTGTTTTGTCAACCAGGCAAAATATGTCGTTGGTGTGAAATTTATTTGCACTCAAGTCTCCCTCTACCACCGAGGCGGTAGGACTGTCTGAGACGTGTTTTGCTGCGGCAGGCGGCCAGAAATCAAGACAGGAGACTGTACTGGTTGCTACGCAAAACGCAAACAGATTCGCCCTCCCCCCTTCCAATCTCAGAGGCCGTGGTGTTGCTGAGCTTTGAGGGGAGGGGGCAAGGCAGGCTGGGCGCTCAGAGGCATCTTCTGGCAGAGAAGAGATGAAAATTTGTGCCTGCATGCCCAACACACGATTTCATGCTTTTTTGTCTAAAATAGGCGCACAACCGTTAGCTCAGCATTGCTCATCTCTGCCGCAGGTCGTACCGGTCAGGCGAACCAGCCGTCTCGGGGCTGTCTGCAATCCGTCCTCTTCGCACGACGTCGCATCTGTCCGCGGCTAGAACAGGGCTCTTATAAAACTGCCGTCGAGCCAGGTCTATTGCAGAAGACCACTGCGTTGGCGACGAGGTGAAGGACACCACGGCCTGGCAATTGAGCAGGTGAGGCTTGTCCAGATAACCAATCAGGGATCAGTTTGATGGGTCCCCCTGCTAAGCCAATGGCAGACCTGCTCCTCCGTTTTATCGTCTCCGCGACTTGAGCGCACAAACCGAGCCGCCATCCTCATGTCTTGGCCCAACCAAGACATCATCATTCAGTGCTACAGGCAATACGACTTTTAGAAGGCCGTCTGCCTCCGTCAAGGACTCAAGTGAAGCTGTATCTCTGCTGGTGGAGTGAACGATCCACAGGAGGACTTATTTCGCGAGGCCAGCCACCCAGCAATCGCTCCGGTGCAGTCATATTTGCTTCCAGGAGCAATCCCTTCAGACAATGAACCGTCCCTTTTGGGCCGCCCTGTGTGTCGCTTCAACAGACCGACAAGACACTCGCAGGGCAGGGCCTTGCATGGTCTGTAGAGAATCTTGGTCGCATTTTCGTCCGTCCCCTTCGGTACTGCTTTTGCATGAAGGCGTAAAGTAAACACTCCAAACACAAAGCTGCTTTGTCTTCCAACCATGAATGTGCTGTCATGGCAATTGTCGTGTTGGGCAAAGCCTACGCCTCACAAATGCCACATATTACGTCTCAGAGTTTGGCAACTCGTAAAAATGGGTGACAATTAAAAATTTTTTCCCATGTTTGCCACATTGTGCTGTACTACACTCGACCGACAGCTATCATCTACCGTGCATCAACAAATTCTAACAGGCAAATTTGCTTCATAGTCTTGATTGGCGACGGAGTTGGCTGGCCTTCTACAGAAGTGAGGACTAATCTGCATTTGGAGTGCTGTCAAAACTCGTCGCAAGAAGATCTTCATTTTTTATGAAAGTGCAAGATAAGAAGAATCCTGGATCAATCTCACCGGAAGATGACGGATGATTTTTGTTGTCCGGCAGCCGTTTGGTTTAAATGCAACGTTCAGGTTGACCAAAATCACGAGATACCTCTGCTCGTTTTGAGCGAAAATGGACTCAGCTTTTGTCTGTTATGCCACAAGACGGAAATAATCAGAGCTGGAACTGATTCCTACAAAAGAGTTCGAGTCCAGAAGGCCGTCCAGTCGTCAAGATTCGTCATGGAGTGCTATGATCTTTAGCAAGAGTCTCAAGCTTTGGTTAAAATAAGCTTCTGGCTAATCCTGTTTAATTTCTATGACAGAGCGCATCTCCACATGGCTCCACGTCAGTATGTCCGTGGCTATACATTGAGTGTCGCATCTTACCGAACTTTCACATTATTTTGAGTTGTACTGCTCTCCCGTTCGTGTTGCCTTAGCAGCGGCCACATTCTAGCCGTGTTAAAGAAGTATCTGAAATAATGAAGCCTACTTTATGCGCTTCATGAAAATTCCACTTGACTGTTGACTTCAAATTCAAACACGCCGATTCAGCGAGACATACTCTTTTTCAAGGACTTGTGCAAGAAAATTGGTGAAAAAAATGGTCCGGGATTAGCAATCCCGAAAGCTTGTGTTGAAGCCGCTTTGAGGGCCTGTCACTACCAAGCGAACGTCTTTAAGTAATTTCAGAATGTAAAACGGGGCCCAACTTATGCAGACCATAATGAAGACGGAATAAGGATATTTGCTCAACAGATATATGCAATCCCGCAACTGAATATTTGTTAAAAAGAGCGGAAAAGAATATAACCTTGATTAAGGAAATGAGCTCACCATGACAAATAAATGAAATTGTTATGGCTTTCCAATTTTCCTTTATTACTTCCACATTTTACTGAGTGCCTATATTTCATGTAGTTGTTATGACCTTTTTAGCTATTCCAGTTTTACACTCTTCTACTAGTCTGATAATTAGTCTGCCCAAGATTAATAGAAAAATATGGCTGTGTTTGACAATCACTTTTACCTGACTGTGCATCTAAATGAGCTGGTCTCCTCCCAGCTTGTCCTAGTGTGTCTCATCCATATCTCGGAAGGTATTCGAGTAGTAAACATGAAATTTATGACTTTGATTGCAAGGACACGGTTACCTATTATTACAAAATCTGCCTCAAAATAATGCTTTACCTTGCTGCAGTCTCAGTAGGGTCATGTGGATCATGGGCTTACATATTTTCTTTTTAATCTTTAATTGCATGGTATGAATCACGCAAAAATAAGGTTACCTTTTCACTTATTGATGGGAAGCCTGTCTTTTGGTCCAAAATGTCGCCAATTGGAATAGCAATTTGGCTTTTTATTTTAGCATTTTAAGTCAAATTGTATATGAACGATAAAGTGAGGTTGTTCTAAAATGGGTTTTGGAGCCTGAAACCTGCTAATCGAGGTACCCAAGTAAATAATTGGTTGAATGAGAATGGCAAATCCATCTTACTAGCTTATTATCCCAGTTTTCTCTTAAATGTGATTAGACACAAACTAGTGCGCCATCCCTGTTACTAATTATTTTGTCTTCGATTTTGCAATGCAAGCAGCTGCACTCCGAGCAACTTCTAGAACAAGTCAGCACCGAACAAAGCGACCTCTGAGGATGAAAAGGAGGGTTCAGGAGCGCGTGGTTGAGGCAGGCAGACGCCGCCGCCTGGCGGACCTGTTTCATCAAATGGATATAAATCAAGACCGTGTCCTGTCGCAAGACGAAGTAAATCTTTTTCTGATGAGCTCCGGCTACGACCCAGGCGCAATCATAGTGAGCATATCACAAGCATCAGTATATCTTTGATAGGCATAATTTACATATTTTTTCCATAATATCTGATTGAGTTTTTAAGTTTGTTAAAAGTGGTTTATAGAGTCATAATGCTGCTTTTATAGTTCTTTGGGAAGATTTGAGAGACGCCCTCAAGAGAAGGCCATAACAGGCCGCGACTCATTAAATGGGGTACCATTTTTCATGTTAATTGGATCATTTTACATAAGGGTAGAATTAGTATTAGATGCATTAATATAAATAAAGAAAAAAGCTGATCCTTTTTTAAGAGCACACACCAAAGGTCGTTTTTAGAGGCGTTAGGTTAAGCTGAGTTAGGTATAAAACTTTCATGTAGAGATTCGGTTTGACCCCGTTTTCACTTGGCCGTATTGTCAGGATCACCCAGATAAACACACTTTGTCCAGAATCCCTTATCATAGTATCTATGATCATTGCAAACGTCAGACTATGGACTTGGTACATTCCCAGATATTTCTCTTTTATCGTCATCGGCCTTGCTATTTAATCCTACCACTCCTAGCCCCATCCGAAAACTGGTCAGATAGACAAGCGAATGGGGGTGGAGGGGGTTGGTTGAACGAGAGATAGTTGGCTCACAGTACACTAGAATTTAGAAAAAATGGGCTTCGAAGAATCTCTTAAAAGATTGATATTGGAAAACCTTTTATTTCGTTTTAAGAGACTAGTGGAAGGAATTAGTAAGTTGGTTCCACCAGAGGCTGTGGGAAGGTTGACTTGGACATGTGCGGACATCGTCAGAGCAGAACACCATGCTTGACGATAATTCACCAAAACACGAGAGCAAGAAAAGGGGTAGGCTTCAAGACTTCTTCCTTCTTATATTCCAATTTGGTCCACTTATGCGTCTCATTTTTTGGTTGAATGTCCTATGTTTTGCCTCCATATTAGCTCATAATTTTAGTTAAGTGGCTGCGGATGACATGTGAAGTTGCTACAGATGAAGCGTGAAATGGGTGCATTTGCAACCGAACAAGCTGCATCCTCCCTTAAAACACGTATGTCTTTGATTCTGCAATGTTACCGCATGTGATTGTGTCCTATTGCACACGTGTTGTTTGAATGCATTGCTCTTGAAATGAGTGCGGTGCAAGAATTAAAACCAAATTCCAGCCTATTCAAGCCTCCTCCTCTTGCTCAGTGGTACCTCTCGTTCCGCCCCCCCTCTCTCTAAAACTATCCAACAGCCATAAGTAGTTTCCGCCTAACTTTCTACACTGATTCCTTCTATTTATGGTGTTGGCTGTTTTGTTGATTTCTACCGCCTCCTTGCAAGGGTATTTGGGTCCAAACATTGGAATTGGCCGAAGACATGGCTCACGCAGGACACCAGATAGATTGGTCTAATGCCAAATGCTTAGTTTGATGTGG